AAACAGCACAGAGTCCACGTCGTTGGAGCAAGCCGCGGACTAGTGGTATCCACTTTGCTTTCACGGGGGCCAAGCGTCTTGAGCCAAAGTGGCTACGGAGAGGGGAGGGGAAGGGAAATGGAGGAGAAACGGCAGGCAGAGGAAGGACGAGGGAGGAGGAAGGAGGAGGCACTAGGTTAGCGGAAGTCTCTGGATGCCCCACGCTTCCCCAGAGGTTTCTGGATGTTCATGCCGCTGGAGGCCTCTGGAGGCCGGAAATGTTTAAGAGACTTCCAAGCAACGCGTTCCTCGATCCTTGACTGCTTAGAAGCCCGTTACCAATTATCGCATGGCTTTCTTGTGGGACGCCGCAAGTGCGATTGTGGGACGCCGCAGGTGCGGTGAGGCTGCCACAGCACAGTTGGGTACATCTGCCATAAACACAAGGCGTAGCTCCCGCAACACGGCGCGAGCGCGACCCGACAAGCGCGGGACTCCTTTTGCTGGGCGGCCAAGGAGGAGGGGGGGGGAGGGGGGGACACACGTACCATGCTTTCGATTTCTGGAGCCAAGGGTGCCCTTGCGGTCGCGCACATCCTTGGCTTTCGCGATTGCACCCATGGGTGGCGCTCGTTTGATTTTGGCGCTGCCCAAATGTATTGCGCTCTTAAACTCAAGCCGTATCGTTGATTTTGACTGTGCGACACGGCCAGATCTCCACCACCCGTGGGAACGTTGATGTTTGAATGGGGGCGTTGGCCTCGTGGCAAGCAATGCGGGATGTTCCGTCAGGACGTAGAGATGCTAAAGGTGGAGCACTGGTCGATGTTCCACCTCCGGGTGGCCTTTTTTTCCGCTGTCCAGCACCCCAAACACTCTCCAGGGGGAGCAGGATCGAGTGCCGTGTGATGCCTGCAGGAGGGGGTCACCCGAGGAGCAGGAAGGCAGCAAGGGGAATGGAGGAGACGGAAGGGTAAAAACATAAGGGGGGGTAGGAGGAGGTGGAGGAGAAGAGGGAGGAGGAGGACGAGGAGGAGGAACAGCATGAGGAGGAGGAGGAGGAGGAGGAAGAGCAGGAGGAGGAGGAGGAGGAAGAGCAGGAGGAGGCCAGAGACTTTCTTGGGACAGCCTGGGGCTCTCTTGAGGCCGTCCAGGGCTCCTCTTGCGCTGTCTCGAGGCACCCTTGGAGGCCTCCTGGGCAATTTGGGGTTCTCCTGGGCTATCTTGGGGCAGTTTGGGGGCCCCTTCGGGCCCTCTTGGGGGCCTCTTGGGGTTTCTTGGGGGCCTCTTGGGGGCATCTTGGGGGAGGAGGAGGAGGCGGAGGAGGAGGAGGAGGAGCAGGAGGAGGAGGAGCAGGATAACACAACCCGAATGAGAAGGAAGAGGCCCACGGAGAGGGAGCAGGCGTAGTGGGGGAGCGGACAAGGGAGGAGGAGGAGGAGGAGGAACGGAACGGATCGGAAGCCGGCGCAAGGCTCCGCGAGGGAGCTGCCGGGAGGGCCGAGGCCCGCTCACATCTTAATGTAATCGTCCTTCAGTTGGTCCCACATTTCTAACATCGCAACCTGTGTCCAATCGTCGTGGCCAAGGGTGGTCAGCACATGTTGTTTGATATCGTCAACCCATCGGGTCTTAGGGCGCCCTGGGCGTTGCCGGGCTGGCGTGCGTAGGTCCAGCTGTGGAGCCCAGTTCAAAATTTGAGCCGGCCATTCTCGTGCTTCCATAAATACAAATTTCCGCGCCCATTCTCATTTTTTCGCCTGTAGATCGTGGCCCAATAATCCACATCATATTCGTGCATCCGTCGTACTGCCTCGTGGGTGGCACGTTTAATCCATTCCGGCCAAGGCTCCAGTAAAGGGTCAACCTCGATGACGTCGGTGTCCAGGTCGGGGGGCGGAGCGGCGTCGGTGTTTGAGCCAGGCAATAGCCGTCGTCTCGGCACACGCACGATCATGCGGAGCATCCGGCGCTGGATCTTGTTCAATGTATGTTGCATATCACGTGTAAGTGTCCAGCTTTCGCTCCCGTATAGCACAGTCGGTGTAATCGTGCCACTGAACAGCCGGAGTCGGTCACGTAAAGAATATGATTTGTCTGTTAGTTCTCCCTCCAGCATGTGGAACTTCTTCCATGCAGCGGCGATCCTGTTGTCGAGTTCGGCTTTGTGCTGTCCTGCAAATTGTATCCTTTTTCCCAAATATTTGGTGAAGCGGTAAGGATGTATTACTTCGATTATCATGCCGTTCGCATGTACATGTGCTGGAGGTCGTCCCCTTGCGAGTGAATCCGGAGGAGGAGGAGGAGGCACGCAAATTGTCCCGACCAGCTCTTGTCGATATTCGATGTGTCCCACGCGACGCACGCTGTTGGCGGGCAACTTGGATCTGGCGGGCCGAAGCCTGAATGCCAAAAACCAACCCTCGGAGCCAGACGCACTTGGAGTCCACTCAAGAAGCTCAAGACGGAGGATGGCTGCTGGATGCTGAAACCCCCGATGTCAATATTCGGTTGCTTGAGGATCGCTGCCTGCACTTGCTTGGGGTGAAGCGTGGGGGAGCGAGCGGGCAGATGAGAGCAAGTTAGATGCATCCCCGATCGTCGGCAACAGATAATGCTGGCTGTATGGCGCCCCTCGACACGCAACCATGCAATCGTCGTCCGATATGCATGCCTGGCGCCAGTATTATGGAAGCAAACGTACCCTCGCATGTACTGTAAGTGTGTTTGCATGGACATCGTGTCCACTTTCCTCTAATTGGTAGCAGGCCCCTGTAGAGACATACTCTCGGGGCGAACAGGCGAGCAGCTGAAGTGCATCCTGAGCTTTCGTCTGGGCATCCCTCGTTGGCGGCCAAACGTGCGCGACATGAGGGATCCACGGGGGGGGCGTGCATCCTGCATGCGCTTAGGCTGTATGTGAGCCCACCACCCAGTCCTGTCACAGCTAAGCACAGCTATCTAAGGTTCTGCAGCATCACAATCCTCTCCGATCCCCCACTTCCAGACCAGTACCACCCACATATGTTGCCCGCATTGGTTTACCTTCCAACTTCCAATGGTCAACACACCGCTATTTTACCTAACAGCGAAGACTGATACTGGTTTCTAGTGGGGTCAAAAGAAAGCATCATGACTCCCCAGGGGGGTCCGGGCAGGATCCGGGGAGAAGCCGCGGAAATCGTTTTAAGCAAACGGTTCCACACTGCGTGGTCTTCGAGGTCCCAGAACTCCACTCCTGGGCATGATTTTGAATGCCCGGAGCCAACTGCAGGCCACTTCGTGGTCTTCGAATTCAGAAAACACCATTCCCGGGCCACATTTTAAATGCCCGGAGCCAACTCTAGGCCACTTCGTGTTCTTCGTGTTCCCAGAACACCTTTCCCGGGCCACATTTTGAATGCCTGGAGCCAACTGTAGGCCACTTCGTGTTCTTCGTGTTCCCAGAACACCATTCCCGCGCCACATTTAGAATGCCCATGTGTAGGCCACTTCGTGTTCTTCGTGTTCCCAGAACACCATTCCCAGGCTACATTTTGATTGCCCGCAGCCAACTGTGAGGCTGAGGCTGAGGCAGGCTGAGACTGAGGCTGAGGCAGGCTGAGGCTGAGGCTGAGGCTGAGGCAGGCTGAGGCTGAGAGGCTGACGCTGAGGCTGAGGCAGGCTGAGGCTGAGGCTGAGGCTGAAGCAGGCTGAGGCTGAGGCTGAGGCAAGCCGAGGCAGGCTGAGGCTGAGGCTGAGGCAGGCTGAGGCTGAGGCTGAGGCTGAGGCTGTGGCTGAGGCTGAGGCAAGCTGCGGCTGAGGCAGGCTGAGGCTGAGGCTGAGGGCTGAGGCTGAGGCAGGCTGAGGCTGAGGCTGAGGCTGAGGCTGAGGCAGGCTGAGGCTGAGGCTGAGGCTGAGGCTGAGGCTGAGGCTGAGCTGAGGCAGGCTGAGGCTGAGGCTGAGGCAAGCTGCGGCTGAGGCAGGCTGAGGCTGAGGCTGATGCAGGCTGAGGCTGAGGCAGGCTGAGGCTGAGGCTGATGCAGGCTGAGGCTGAGGCTGAGGCCGAGGCAGGCTCAGGCTGAGGCTGAGGCAAGCCGAGGCAGGCTGAGGCTGAGGCAGGCTGAGGCTGAGGCTGAGGCAGGCTGAGTCTGAGGCTGAGGCTGAGGCCGAGGCAGGCTGAGGCTGAGGCCGAGGCAAGCCGAGGGAGGCTGAGGCTGCGACTGCGAGAACAGCAGAATTCTACAACTAGATTCTCACCAAAATCTTGAGGGGAATGCTTCCAGATATGCTTCTACACATCGCTGTTAGGTTGCTTTGCCGGGATAATTGTAACTGATACGAGCCTGAAGGAATACTTTGCTCCGAGGAGTGGTGATGGCGCGCTTCCCTAGGTACATGAATACTCCAGACGCGCCGTCGGCCTTGAATAGGCTACAACACACTCGACGAAGAGCAGCGACTAGGTTCTGGACAATAACGCTGAGGTCGTCAGCAAACGCCGCAGAGACACATGTGGTGCGATCCTGGACCTTCGCTACCTGCCCGAGAATGGGGTCGAAACAGAAGACGAAACAAGGAGACCTGACCATGGGCGTCCTTGTTTACACCCCGTGCAGATGGGAATGCACACAGATCCCCCACCTCAAAGAGAGACCTCCATCACCACAAGGTCCCTGCAAAGAGCCTGGAGCGCACGAGCGACGAACCTGGGGAGGTTAAGCTTCTCCAGCTAAGTTACCACTGGGGAGCGCGGCAGGGATATCAAAAAGACAGGTGCCACCCAGCCTGCAATCACCCATCACATTCCAGCCTAGAAGATGGGGTCAATCTCCACAACATGAGTTAGAAGTTGCCTCCCTTTGATGAATAAAGAGGAGGCGGAGGAAGAGGAGGAGCAGAAAGATGAGCAGGAGAAGGAGCAGGAGTGGAGGAGGGAGGAGGAGAGAGAGAGAGAGCGAGAGAGAGAGAGAGAGTAGGATGAGCAGGGGGAGCAGGAGGACCAGTACGAGCAATAGCCCCCCACTGGGCCCCAGGCGCGCCTGGTTGGTCAACCACGTCAGCGAAGGAGTCCAGAAGCACATCGCGCAGAGCCCCACGACCACGGAGGCGCGCAGGGAGGCGTCGGCTGGGCGCCGCCCCCGCCGCCGCAGCCGCCGCCGCAGCCGCCGCCGTCGTCGTCGTCGTCGTCGGCGGCGTCGTCGTCGTCGTCGTCGTCGTCGTCGTCGTCGCCGCCGCCGCCGCCGCCGTCGCCGTCGTCGTCGCCGTCGTCGTCGTCGTCGTCGTCGTCGTCGTCGTCGTCGTCGTCGTCGTCGTCGTCGTCGTCGTCGTCGTCGTCGTCGTCGTCGTCCTCGTCGTCGTCGTCGTCGTCGTAGGCGTTGTCGTCGTAGGCGATGTCGTCGTCGTCGTCGTCGTCGTCGTCGTCGTCGTCGTCCGCCCCTCGCTCTTCTCCCCCTCCTCCCCCCTCCTCCGCCCTCGTCCTCGTCCTTCCCCTCCCTCTTCTCCCTCCCTCCTCCTCTTGCCTCCTTCTCCTCTTCCTCCTTCTCCTCCTCCTACCCCTCCTCCTCCCACCGTTCCTCCTCCTCCTGCCACTCTTCCCCTGGAGCCAGTAGCTCCCTCTTCGGGCTGCGTGCGCTGAGGCGGCTGCAACCTTGTCTGGCAAACCCACCCTTTAGGGGGCCCTGATTCGGGGGTCTCGAAACCGTGTGGTGACATACCGCGCGGTGATCTCGAAATCCCAAGACCTCACCGCGCGGTCCGTCACCGCACGGTCTCGGGGCCTTGGAGGCCCTGGTCGCCCAAGACTTCCTCGGACAATGACCCGAGTCCCAAAACCGTGCGGTGACCTCGAATCCCCACTGACTCACCACGCGGTGTGGTCACCACACCGCTTGGGTGCCCCGGAGGCCTCCCGTAACTGGGGATGTGTCGACCCCTATCCCCGACTTCGTGGGGCTTCGGAATGGAGCGACAATGTGGGGCCCAACTCGGGGATATACGAGTGGGGGGGCGTCCGTCCTCGATAGGGATGCGCCCGAATAGCTCCCTGGGGGTGTATCCCCGAAACGCCCTCTTGTTAGGCGAGGCTGCGTTTCCTTGGACAGGTCGGGGGGGGGGGGCGAGGAGTCGCCTGTGATCCTGGGCGCCCACGGAGGCACCCCGCAGCCCCCCGAACGAGCGGGGTCGTCTAGCTTGGGGACCGCGCGGGGCGCGCTCGGGCACATGTTTCGCCATCCCCTGCCCGTGGCGTCGGAGACGCAGGGCGAGGTAGGCCTGGCGACGCGACGGCGGCCGGGGGGCGACCGCTGCAGGTGTTTGATTTCACCTCGGTCTGGGTCAGGGGCTGCGGCTTGCAGGCCAG